TAAACTGCCCCTTGGCTTCTCACTGTTGTTGTGGAAAGGCTGCCCTGGCCTTGCTGTGCCGGCCCCTGGGAGGGAAACCATGGGTAGAGAGATGGTATATACATGGGTCATACTCTGGGAAGGCAAAGTTGTCCATGCACATGCACGTAAGGCTTCATAGCACTTATATTTGCTGTCTCAGGAGCTACAGACACTATGGTCTCCTTCCCTCTGTACCTCTTGGCCCTTCTGCCTTTCCTCCAGTATAAATCCCACCACTCCTTTGTGCCACCACCCCAGCTTGAGGTCTGGAGAAGATCAGCTGCTTTGTCTGATTCTTCTTCCTTCTAATCCAGATCAGTCCTTCAGCTAGGAGGTGCTTGCAAAGGTACATCAGCCAGGTCCACTGATCAACCCCAGAGGAAGGTGACTGTCACTGCTTGGCTGAGTCAAAGCAAAGCCCTCCAGGCCAGCCACAAGCCATCTCTACCTCTTCTCCCCACAGCTGAGCACGCGAGTAATGTCTTCTGGCCACTCTGACTGGAAAACCAAGCCGCTGCATTGTCAATGCTTACATGACACATTTGCTTTGCTTTCCTTCCCAGTGTTATTCAGGCAAATTACAAATGACCAGTTACTGGATTGTTTGCAAGCATTATTTTCAAATTCCCCATGTATTTTATGCGATTGCTCTTCCACTGGTTTCAGCGGATGTCTTTTCCATTTGCAATGCACTGATTTATGCTACTAGACAGCCTATCTTTTTGCCCTGCCAAAAGCAGGCATTTCAGAATGTTTCTGGGTTCCCTGTAATATTTTCTGTTATTCCTCATTCAGGACTAGCAGTATGGGATGTTAAAATAAACTGGTTACCTCAAAAGACAGTTCCTTTGCATGTCGCCCACAAGAATTTGGCTGGCACTTCTGAAGGGGGAATTTCAGGGCTCGTTAAAAAAGCAGTAAAAGAAGCAAGTGTGCATGCATTGATGCTCCTATCTGAGCTCTCCTTTCTTAGTGGGTTGTGGCTGTCGGCTCCTTGAAGTCAGGCCCAGCTGGGCCTTGATGCTCTACAAGCTCTCAGTGATGTTTGCAATGTCAAAGCCTTGTTCAGTTGTGAACTTGCCATTGCTGGGTGCAGTTGTGAGGTTGCATTTTCTGGACATCACAAGATGTGCACAGCCACTGGCTGGGTGGTTACAGGATCCCTGCCCAGCACAACATCCAGTCCCAAATGCCAGCAACAGATCTGGGGGCACAGCCCGCAATTTTCTGACCCCCTTCACCTTTTGGTATGAGCAGTGCAGCTCCTTCCTGATTGCACTGCATTACTTCCCATACCCCAGCTTCTGCATCTCCTTCCCAATGTCCACACCTCATCATGTCTGTGGGAATCTGCATCTGGGCTTGCAAAGTCCCTTCCCTCTTGCATGCCAAGGGAATCCAGAGCTTCCTTCCTCCAGAAGACAGCAGCAGGAGGTTTAGCTGCATTTGTGCCTGCAGCTGCCTGGCTCCCTGCTTACAAAGGAGGGACATTTGCAAAGCAAGCTGAGAATTGCAAGCGGAAGGGCAAGGGAAAAGATTCAAGTCAGGGCAACCTCTGGGTGGCAGTTCAAAGTTGTGTTCGTAGCAGTCTCCGTCACAGGGACTGGGGTCCTGGGTGTTGCTGGAGGAGCGTGTGTCCCAGCAGAGAGAGTGCAGTGAGCACACAGTGGTGCAATGATCCAGTACAGGCGTTCTGCCACTTCGCCAGCACAAGTCCAACCTTTCACCGGCGGGACGGCATCCTGGGTGCAGGTGTCCATGAAGGGCAAGGTTTGCCAGGAGAATGCTGCAGTGTAGACCAGGCCTTAGTTGAATTGTATGAGCGTCAAGAGCCCCAATCCTGAATCAGGACCCTGCTGTGCTAGGTGCTGTACAAACAAAGAGATAACCTTATCCCAAACAGCTTAATTTAAACACAGGAAAAGGGCCAACAGGTGGCTGGGACCAATAAGTAAGAGCAGAGAACATTTTCCAAGACTGCATCTTCCCACTAGAGACTGAAATGAATGTTTGCACAAAACGAGCAGGTAAGTTAGACGCATTCAGTCGCAATGCTTTTCCATAGGACACAGAGGGGCCCCTAGGATCCCAATTCCCATTTCCCCAGCAGCCTAGCATGCTGTTAAGACACCCAGGTTGGGATTTTCACAGAGCCTCAAAACACTGGATGCTGTTTCCCATTTTCAGCCTATGGAAAAAGATTCTTGTGTTTAAATAATGAAGCATCTGGCCCGCTGAGCCCCTTCTGCACCCTGGCAGCTCAGTCAGCTTGCTCATGATTACATCCGGGGGCCAGTGCACAAAATGCCAAGCTACCGAAAACTTATTCCATGCAATTTCTGAGTGGGCCCAAAGTTGAGATGCATAACTCTGAGAAGGCATCTAGGTCAAATAGACCTGCACTTACACATGCAAGCTCTAACATCTAATCTGATACACTGTAATAGCGGGGAAATGCGATTCTTCTCATTTCACAGGTTGTCGAACAGAGAGGGAGGTGAGATGGCTTGCCTGAGGCCAGAGCTGATAGGGAAACTAAGAATAGGACCCAGGAGTCCCCACTCCCATGACCATGTACAAGGTTTCAATGCTGCTAGTCCAAAAACATAAATGCACATCCTGGGGCTTACTTCAGGACCAAGATGCTCAGTCAAAGCCTCCTGGATCTACAATGCTGGGGACTTGAGCTCCAGCTGTACAGCACCACCTCCAGCCATAGGTGGGAAAGCAGCAGACACTCAGGGATTCACATTCCCATCCCTGGCCTCGGGCGTTTGCTCTCTGCTTACAGCTCTGGGGAAAACCCTGCCTCATCGCCTGCGAGCGCAGAGGACCCCGTGCAATGGAACAACTGTATTTTTATTGCATGAGGGAGAAGGCTGGAGTAACAAGATTTACACAGGCCACGTGCTGCAAGATGGTTCTTTCAATAGAGAGATTTGACAGAAGGGCAAGGTTGGGTTGGGCAAAGGCTGGAGGGGCCAATTACCTTCCCAAAGACCTTAGCACTGGCTCTGGAGCACACGAAGGAAAAGACTGGATTAGAGCTCTGCATCCCAAGTCCAGCACCCATCCCAGTTACTTGGGCTGGGCAAAGGATTTGCCACTCGTTGAGAAACAGGTTTCAGATGGCTGAGACGATGCCTCGTGACTGTTGCACAGGTGTTGGAGAAAGAATCACAGGCTAGAAGGGTCAGTTCATCCAACCCTTTCCAACAACACAGGCTGAGCTATTCCTAAACCACTCCAGACTGACGCCTGTCCAGCCTCTTCTTGAAACCTTCAGTGAAAAGGATCCCATCGTTTCCCTGGGTGGCTTGTTCCACTATCCTACTGCTCCTACCATTTGGAAACCACACCTGGCCAGCACCTCCTGAGCCATCAAGTCCAGTGGCCGGTGATTTCCCAAGGATTCCCAACTTCGAACCCTCCAATGTAATCACAAGCCACAAAGACAGACACCCCAGGAGCACCCTACAACAAGGCAGAGGTGAAGGCAGGAGAGAGACAGGTACTACCAATGCCTTGCCATTGTGATAACAGAGAAATGACTGGTTAAGAGATGGTCAGGGGAGCCTAGGAAGAGGATCATGCCCCACACTAGAAGGCCAGAAAACATCACAGTCCTTGCCAGTCTGACTGGGGAATAAATTCCCTCCCAACACCAGATGCAGATGCAAGGGGCTGGAAGGGATATCACGAGATCATTGGCTCCATCCATCCCCCTACACTTGGGCAGGAAATGACTTCAGGAAGAGCAAAATTCACTAACCAGGAGCCAGTTAATCCCAGTCTGCTTTGCCACAGTTGATACAAACCCACAATCTGCTAGTTGCTATGACTGCTATTTATTAGAAGGTCCCTGCCCTGTCCACTGGGGCCCAGGCAGCACCACCCAAACCATTCTCAAACCCTGGATAATACATCCAAGCCACCTTCTTTACTCCCCCACTGACACAGGCTGTATTTTTGGGCTGTGCCGTGCTCCACTAGCAAAGGGGAAAAGCAGTTTTATTGTAGGTCTCACCCCCAAGGTGCATCACAAATGAGGGAGGGAACAGATTAGCCTCTTATCAGCTACAAAGTGTTAATAAAAACAGCTCAGCGCTCCAGAGACAGGAGGCGGGAAGGCAGGTTTCACTCTTAACAGCAGAGCCAAGTGTCAGCATAACGAGGCAAGTCTCATTATGGGAGTCGCGCGCATGCATTTCTTTTCCCTAATCCACATGGGCAGCAAAATAATGTGATGGTCCGGCTTCCCAACCCCCTTTTTAACGAACACAGCCAAGGCTGAATAAATGTGGGTCCCTCATAAGCTAAGCATCTCAGAGATATTAACAGTGCCGTAGTGCTGCTAAACTGCGTTCAACTTGGGTTTTAACGTTTCTTGCTCACATCAACATTAGGACAAAAAAACAAAAATTGAATAATGCTGCTGAAAAGCCTGGGGTTTTTTTGTATAGAGCTTACAGAAACAATCTGCCAGGGGAAAAACTCATTCCATATTTCCTCTCCCCTCACCCCCCTGCAAACTTATATTCAAAAGATCCCCATAAGATGACATGAACATGATGAAAACAATACAAATAAGTATGCTCACCATAAGCTGCATGCAATTTATGTCCCTGTAAGGATGTCACCTAGCAGAGAGCTAAATCTGAGGTAGGTACAGAGACCATGCAGACAAAACTACTGCCTTGATACGGAGAGAGGGACAGTTCAATATCTGGGTAAACCAGCCCTGTGCTGAGCAAGGTACCCACATATGCCTTTCCCCCAGGGATTTCAGAGGGACTAGCTCATGTGTTTCAGCTTGTGCCTAACTGCATTCATCCAGGTGTGCATCTGTGGAGTCAATCAAGTGCAACTGGGCCTTTTATTTTCACTGGGAGTGAAAGCACTTCCCAGTGCTGGAAGGGGAGGGTGGTGGTGGGGTGAGGGGATGCTAAACCAAGGGTGAGCAGGGGTTTCTCACTCACCGATCCTCAGGGAGTGGGGGCTGGCAGCGATCTTCATTAGCCACACCAGAAGGAGCACCAGAGGCGCCAAGACCCGGGGCATCTTCTATAAATCCTCATGGAGCCCTGTGGTGGTCTGGGCATGACATAACTCTGCAAAGAGGAAAGCAGCAGGGGGTTAGCAACAGCAGCCAGAGGGTCCAGCCATCCCACAGATGCATCCCAGCTTCAGTTGGGCCCAACTGCGTGGCCGGAAAGTTCATCACCCTGAGTTTATCAGGGAGAGAGCGGGAGGCAGGGTGTGCATCTTTTTAGCCACTGACCAGAAGCAAAGCAGTCATTTACACAGCTCTAATCCCAACGCTAGGGACCACCCCTTGTAGATCCATCTTTCTCTTCTGCTTAACCCTGCCGCCCTAAGCCACCAAGCTGCCCATCTTTACTCCTGCAATGGGTCAACTCTCAGGTGCTCTTTGAAATCCAACACCATCATTAAAGGCGAAGCAATAGGGGGAGTGACTTGGAAGAAAAAGCACTAAGCTTTATTATTATCACTGCTAGCTGGAAAGGCACTTAGATACCTAAATGCTCATACTGGTTCCTATCTAACGATTTGAGCAGCTGAAGTACACAACTGGGCACCCTAATAATGCGCCAGGATCAGAAAATACAGGCACACTCTGACGCATAAGGGTTTGCTGCTCTAAATGTTTAAAATGCTAGAAAAAAAGACAGAGCCATGTGATAAAGGCACCAGGGCAGGAACACCCTGCCCTGGAAGCAAAGCTCTGGGTTCACCCTCTGCCTTTGCTGGGATAGTCAGGTCAGCGGGGTCAGACGTATTCGTTATCCATCGTAATTCATCCTGGGGCTCTTCAGCTGATCTGCAGCTAGTACTCAATTAACAGCAGGTTGTTTTCTACCCAGGGAGGCAGCTGAAGAATCAGATGAAGATCACAGGGGCTGAGAGTGAGCAGAAAAGGGACTTTTGCCAAGGGGCTGGGGAATAGCTGGATTGGCACGAAACAGCAATACAGCAAGGGGCAACCATTTCCATACATCCCCTGATGTATTACCAGGATCTAAGCCCTCCTAGGCCTTCTGATCTCTATTATACACAAAGTTTTTCCTAGGTGAAAACATACACGGTGCCTTGTGCGCATGTGCTAGCAGGCCTGCGGCTGCTCCAAGACCTTTCTAAGGAGATGCCACAAAACCTCGCGCCTTTCTCGCGTCTCTCCATTTGTCCTCCTTCCCCCAGAGTACGTGCTGACCTCCCCAAATTCCCCAGGATCCAGATACTTCACAACCTCTATCATGTTTCCTCTCATAACAGCCCTGGGATGTAGGACAGTGCTATGACACACAGTTTACAGATGGGGGACTGAGGCACAGAGAGAAACCAGACCCCCAAAGGTGCTTAGGTGTGCATGTCAGCAAAAAGGTGCTTAGGTTGAGAAACTCTGATCTAGACCAAAGAAGGACCATCCGCAACTAGATCATCCCAGGCAAAGCTTTATCTACCTGGGTCTTAAAAACCTCCAAGGATGGGGACTCCACCACTCTCTGTGTAACCTGTTCCAGTGCTTTACTACCCTCCTAATAAGAAAGTTCTCCCTAATATCCAACTTCAGCTTCCTTTGCTGCAACTTGAGCCCATTGCTCCTTGTTCTGTCATCTGCCCCCACCGAGAACAGTGCAGCTCCATCCGTTTTGAAACAACCCTGCAGGGAGGTGAAGGCTGCTATTAAATAGATTAGGGGTAGGCAACCCCCAACACGCATGCCACAGCATGGCACGTGAAAGCATTCTGCGTGCCTCAGAAAAGGGACTGAGGTTGCGCTGCCACAACAAGGATCGGGCCGTCCCGGCTCCCCTGCCACCTGCCCCTGGCACACCAACATCGTACAAGTCGAGATTCTGGGCGATTTGGGCACTTTGCCCAAAAACGTTGCCGACCCCTGGAATAGATGATCAAGATCTCCCACGCTAATCTACAGCACGGCCGACGCTGCTGTCACTGATCCACGTGCTGCAGAGAGCTGCAATTACGGCGTCAAATCTAACCTGCAAACAGAGGGTTAGATTTGTTGCTCAGCTCCAGACGCACAGACGTTTGTCACTTGAACTGAAAAGCATTTCTTTGAGCTCACAGTAGGGCTAGGCCTCGCGTCCACGCGGTGCACCCTGCCGCATTGCTCAGTCACACAAAGTGGCAGAGTAGCATTTACCGAGGGAAGGGCGCAGCTGGAAGAGGAGGGATGTCAGAGCAAATGACTCCTCCTGGAGTGACCAAAGCCTTGGCACAGAGATGTTTCCAGAGGTATCACGAACAGCAGCATGGAGAAGAAATTTTCAATCAGCGGCAAAACTGTTGTGCCTTAAGTTGATAAAATCATCTCCACAGGCAGGGATGCCCCTAAACACTGACTTTGAATATTTCATCCATTACCTTGTCTATCCCTTCTCCAGCCTGCTGGGAAATGTACTCAACACTGTTTGTTCATCTAAAGACACAGGACCAAGTCTGGACGCCTTTACAGAGGCAAAAACTCACTCAAACGCCTTTGACATTACGGAGAGTTCGGTCAGAGGAAAAACATTACTTTCAATCCCTGGTGTGGATGCTGAGGTGCCTCTACGCAGTCTCTGAACCTCTTTTATCTGACAGTCTCACCACACAACACGTCTTTGAAAGGGACAGACCCTTTTCACCAGGAGTTTCTTCTGCCTCGGTTCCCGTCTCGGTACGTCTTCACCGTGTCCCCAGCAGGGATGTCTCTCAACACACCCCACCTGTGCCCTCCCGCTTCCCCGCTTCAAACCTTGAACATGGTGCTGAAGCCACTCCAGGGACATCTCCACAACAGTTAACTCTAAAAACAGGCATCGGGAATGTCCCCAGACTGGCTTCACCACCAGCAACCATGTGCATCCCTGCCAGGACACACCGGGGACCCAAATGTAGATGCATCTTAAGCATCTTGGCCAACGCTAGGCAGGAAATCTGGGGCAGAGGACAGAACCAACCCCTGGGCCTCAGACATTTATCCTGATCACCGTGGCATCCTATTTTCTTGCACGCCCTTCCTTTCAAACCCATGCACTGCATTTTCTTACGTACAGCACGTGCAGCTTTTCCCCCAAAACGAGCTGCTGAAAATTGGAGTGTGCATTATAACTGAGAAAATACAGTAATAGCCATTGCTGCCACTTGCACTTGTGCCAGCAAAAGAGAAAGCAAGTCTGCATGCAGTTCAGAGAGAGAAGAGCAATGAGCAGGCTCTGCTCCCTAGCTGCTGCTACTCAGTTCTGCACTACAAGGAAACATCTATTTTTTAATTCGTTCTGCCTCTCAAAGAGAAGGTGCATATCTTATTTCAGGGCATGCTGTAGGTAGGAAAATACCATATCTGAATATTAGGAGCACAATTTGCTGGCCAAGGTGCCCCAGCATGCGAATGCCCAACGGGAGACCCTATGAAAGGACCTGACTTGGAAGGTGGTCAGCTTTGGAAAAATCAGGGCCCTTTCAAAAGGCACCCCCTCAAATCCCTAGTTACTTTTGGAAATTGCACCTCTCGGACTGTTTGGTTTGTCTGTAACAGCGGCAAAGCAATAGCAGTAAAACAGCAAGCCCGAAAATGTTAAGTGTATGGAAAATTGGTTACTTAGAAGTGTTTGCAGCAGCAGATTCAATTCGTAGAACAACATATCATTTGAGCGCTTTGAAGCAGTTATTTCAAAACTTTCCAGGTTATTGACAAAACAGCAGGATCAACTCAAATTTACTCACTCTGGTATTACAGCCAGACCTGTGGAAGTAGTTTGCTTGCGCTCTCTCCACACTACAGACACACGGGCACACACCGTCTCTCCAATCGATTCGGAAGAGAAATGAAAGAGAGGGGGCCAGATCCTGAGAAACGGAGGGGACCCGTGATGCCCGCCGACTCCAAGGAGACTCAGGGCCCTCTCGGGGTCGGATTGAAAGCTGCCCACAGAGCCGCCACGCAGTTTGTAGGCACTCCCTGTGCGCCACTGTCTCTGTTGCAATGGCTCAGATGCACGATCCCCCCCCGCCACCTTGTGCACTGTGATTAACCACCGGACCCGTGCTAACAAAGTACCTACGACAGGATGCCAGACATAACCACTCTCCCTCCCTCCCCGCTGGCCCCTTTTGCCTGACCATGGCAGCCTAAAAGAGATGACCAGAAAGATACAGAAACAGAGAAGGAGACTCTAAATACCTTTCCTGCCTGAGATGCAACGGAGAAACTTGGCAGTTGCTCATCCCTGCTGTTTTCTCCACTACAGCCCTGCTGCAGTCTGCCAGCCGCTGACACTTCGGCTGCCTGTTTGTTCAAAAGAGCAACCAATCAAAAGGTATTTGTACCGGAAACTAGCAGAAGTATTGGAAGCTTCTTCGCTGCACTGTCATCTTGAACATGTCACCTGAATCCCCACCCACTCCCCCTACCACCAGCTGCTCTCTCTCTCCCCTCTGCTCCGGGCCCGCTTCTTGCCTTGATCCCTTGCCTTAATATTGCCGCCTGTCAGTGGCATTTGTAAAGGAGACCCGTAGGAAATGGCAGCACATCGTTGTATGATTCAGTCCAAGAGAAAATCCCATACTTGTCAGCGTTTGTTAAATGAAATGTAAGAGATTAAGAGTGCTAACGTAGAAGCAGAGGGGGCTTGTCGGGGACGCAACAATAGCCGGCGCTCAGAAGATGATGAGAAAAGCAAAGCAAATCCTCCGGTGAGGTGCTGACCTGACACTTATAATGGACGAAGTGGCAAGATGGAGTTGATAGCCTGAGACTAACTCCCCCATCACCGTACTTGCTCTCCCAGCAGCTTGTCCTCAATCGCAGCCCTCCAGTCTGTCCCCAAAAGCATCTCGACAAGAGGGGTGTTTTTCCCAGAGATTCAAATGAGCCCAATACTCAGAGCAAACACTTTGCCACTAACATGCAGCCATCTCTGGGGAAGAACCTGGCAGTAGCTTAATAGCATATATCATCATTAGGATAAAGGCAGAAGAGCACACGTCCTATCAGAGGCAATGAGAAAGCACCACACTGCAATTTGGGCAGGATACCAGGGTTAAATGTTTTCTCCATCCTGCAAGAAGCGTCCCGGTGCTG